AAACTCGGTTTGAAAGGCATAGGTTACAGAGTTCTATATGTAAATTCAGTATAGGAAATGAACTGAGCTTTTCGCGTTTTTAACGAAGGTAGATGGCACGTGAGCAGCGTTGACCCGTTGAAAATAGTGACTCATTGCTTGTGTCACATTCACTAGCGTCAGACAGAATCAGGACTCTAAGAGTCCGCTATGACGACAGTGATTATGTAATTTGTGTACAACAAAAATGAGGTAACGCAAGAGAGTTGACATATCTACCTACTTGAAAGAGCAGCATTCGTGAGGACAAATGGAACCGTTTACAACATTCGCCGATACTCCTTTGTGCGATGGAGTAATGTATATGACTATGGACGGTATTGTTTTCGTTTGTCTGCACCTATTGGAAAAGCCCGTTTGATTGTTCATAGTTCCTTATTCATATACAATCAGTTCTTAACATAGCGACAGGATCATTCATGCCTCATCCTGTTGGTCAATCCTTGTTGGTTTTGGTTCGCACTTGCCGTTCCGACTAGTTTGAACCGATCGTATTGTGAGATGCGTTGATCGACTGATCCAAAGCTGTCATAGTAGGTGGATATCTTTCTGGTTAGATGCAGTTTCCCCGTCGGGCTGTAAAGGTCGATTCGTTCGTTTCGAGTAGTAGTCGACATTGTTCCGCAAAGTGCTTCGAGCCGATGTTTCGGCACACCTGGTTGGATAGGCCTTATTCTTGGTCCGTTTGTTAGCCGGGGCTCTTTTTACCACTTTCCATTACATTAAGAGCCGTGGATGCTTCATTCGCATCCCACCCAGTGCCAGTAAACTGTCTTTCATTACATTGGGCACATCTCTACACGGTCCTTCCTTATATCGGTTACCTTACGGCCATTACTGAAGCACTCTTCCGCATCTAAACCGAGTTATTAGTCCCTACCAGCTTTTCGAATCCCCAGCCATCCGGAATAGGCCGAGAGAACTACCGTATCTTACTATTTACTGAATTGCCTCCTTATAAGCGTTATGTGAATGAAGTTGTTCCTGTGCCAAATAATTCCGAATTTATAGGTATTGTCCCAAGTTATATCATATATACCAAAATTATCCGAGTATCGTCTCAGGTTGTCCAAACGTCAAATTTACATTGTTTCATCTTCATATACTTCCCTCTATTGAGTATACAAAGATACAATGTTCAGGAAGGGGGACGTGGACAATCAGAGAGCTATCATACATTACATGATGGAGAAAGACATGCGGCGGTGGGCGGATTCGAACACGTTCTCCGAGGTGACGATTGATTACAATACCACCAGGGCACCAACACGTTCAAGCAGGGCAGTATATATGATTAGTCTGATCTCAGTAAGGAACAAGCTACACACTGATGTCTCAATGATTACCACCCACAACACGATACCAAAAAAGATATCGTGGTTGTTTGTCATACCCAAACGAGCATGGGCCTGTATGCTACACTTTGCTACTCCCTGAACCACAAGCAATACCGTTCCTCCGTCTTTATTATTATTTTCATCGGATAGTGAAAGCGGTGTAACATAAGCTCTCCGTTTAGTGTGAACTGTTATTGCAGAGACGCTTGTGATTCCCGTCCTTTCATATCAGCNTTCACAGTGCCCTTGGAGGGAAGATTGTGTACTGCCGTGGGAATGGTTTGAGGTAATATGCCACACAGGTTTCTTCTGGAATTTCGACGAAACCTTGGTGAATATGATCATTTATTAAGCAAACGAATATCTGTAATGTTTATAATGCCCGAGAAACAGCAGTAGCTTGCTAATTCATCCCTATCAGGACTCTAGAGTGAGTTCAGCCACTCTTCCATGGGAATGTGAAAATTTGCTTCGTATTTCATAATTCTTAACCATGCAGTCAAAATTTGTTATTACAAAGTTCCCGGTGGTTGTGAAATTCAAATTAGCCACGGGAATTCGCTAAATGGCATAATTTTTAACCTATTCTTTTCGATCCATGTATAACTTCAAGGATTCAGTTCAACTGTTTGTAAATGTTTCACAGGATTATTTGTTCCATCACCAAAAGTTAAGGTAACGACTAAGCAGTGCGTACTACTGCATAGTGGTTGATTCAAATAGGATAAAAGGAAACGTCTTTACTTGACGTGATTAGTTTATTCGACACCGAGATTAACAGACGCAAATTCTACATCTCAATTACTCACGGTAGAGAATTTTCCTATTACAGTTCCGAAACTCTTGGTGTGATTTTCGTTTTGTTTTGATGAAGACGGTACGAAGTTAAATGAAGTGAACAGTATATTTTGAGGTACATTAAATATCATTTATTAGCCAAAGTCAACCAAGAAAGAAGTATTCCAGAAAGCAACCAATAGGTTTTCGCTACAATGCCTGATAAGTACCATTTGTTTTCATCAAATAACTAATGTTGGTCTTTTTTTTTGCTCACTCGCAGTGACCGTATTACTACATCAGTATTGATTTGCTCTTGCCCCTTGTCTGTAGTATGCAGAAAATCGGTACTGAGAGTCTGGATTAATCTCGTTAAACTTCAGCCTCATCAGGAAAGAAGACATGGGTGCACAATCTGTTTAGGTTCACGCACGTTGTTAATATTTAGTCCATCATTAAATAGTTTTACCTTTCAACCTTGTTTAATACTTTGAGGATCAATTCACAAAGAATCACTGTCATGGTGGTTTGTTTTCTGAAACTGACTTCATAAGTATACGTATTCTTTTCTTCTTCTATTTTTAAATCTCTTAATTTTGCTTCTATTTATTGAATACACATCGATACAATTTTCATGAAGGGGAAAGCGCTCAACCAAACGGCGGTGGTGATGGGGTTGGAACACACGTCTGCGATATGGTAATTTGTTGACGTAACCACCAGGTCACCACCGCCTGTTCCGCTCAAAGCAGTGAGGGCTGAACAAAGTTAAACGCGATTCCTTATGTCTGGGCCTGAATGTCACAACCCAACCCTTATCCACCTGGCTTGTTGTATGTTATTTTCCTAAAGCTGGACACTCAAATGCCAATAACACAAGAACCTTCGGGTCCACATACCGACTGGATTCCGAAAGATCGCGTTTTAAATGGATGTTTATCTATTGTGTTTTTGATTAAAAATGAAAAATCATTCATCACGCTCTCAACGAACTGTTATACAATTCCCCAGTACAGTCCACTTCATGCAATTAAATTTCAACCTTGAAAACACCATTTGGTCAACATAAAAAGATCACGCAACAACCGCAATGACCGTCTTTTTGTACACAAAAGGAGGACAAAAGCTTGAAAACGGGAATAACACTCAAGTTTTGGAAAAATTACATTATACGTTAGATACAGTTCATTTTCCAGGTTTGACATGAATAAATTTTATTTCCATAGTTTTATTGAATTACCGTCTCTCTTGTACTCATTCGGTAAAACATATCAATACTCGCCCCTAAAACCTCCGAAAATCTAACAAGCTTCATGAAATTAGAATTGGTGTTTCCGTTACTGCCGCGAATCATTTCGTGCACGTTTGCGACCATTTCGTAATTGGCGAATGCATTTAAGTCATACAACGAAAAGGGCTCCATTTGCAGAATTCCGGTCCGACATATCTGACCACAAGTGTATCATGTTGTGCACACCACCCAAGGCCTTTTTTGAACCCCCAGTTCAAATCGTTTCGTGAATACACTGGAATAGTGCGGTTTTGATTGTCCTATGTTTTTATAATTGCAAATTCTAGATTATTCACTTAAGATGCACTGTCATCTCACTTTGCTGTGCGAGTGCACGCACGCACTCTCCAATTCACTTATTCAGTGCTAATTTGTAACCATTTTTATTTACCTTTCGCCGTTCATAAAAGTAACATTTCGACACAATTGTATACACCGTTGACTTTTGGATCTGTGCGACAGGCGATCATTAGACCGGTTCTCCAGAGGGAAATTCTTGTTGTAAACATCTTCTCCAAACTGTTTACGGAAAGATCAGCTCTTTTATCACTTACTGATATGAAATTGATAAAGGGGATTTTATCCATACGATATCTAAATTCTAAGTGGAACAAATTGTCTCTATTAGATACTGCGTAAAGAAATGTGCCTTGGTGCATGAGGGTTTTATCAAACTATTCCGAATTCGGAACGTGCGTTGAATCTTGACGTTTAATTTGTTGACAAATTTCTTTAATTTGTTTTCTTTCCAATTCCAATGGCACATTGATTCCGTCGCCCATTATACATAGACCAGCTCACAGATTTATGCTCATGCCTTATAGGACTACACGGACGCATCTGTGGAACGCAAACTCAAAAATGCATTAGTATTACCGATATGTTTTCATTCTTTCCTGCTACATACGTATGTTCCAAAGTTGAGATGATTCGTGAAGGTTCTCTCTGCACATGGTAATCCTGGGATAGTTTGCTCCACGAGTCTTATTCCCATACGTCAAGAATATGATTACACATTTTCTGTCAGTAAGGTAAGAAGCGTATGCAAACCTTAACTTGTGATTTTGTTTCATTGGTATGGCTCGTGTGAGCTTATTACGCAGAATAAATAGATATATATTGAATGGATATTATATTTATCGCTTCATTGATCACGTACACGTTTTTCACATAGTTCCAGTCATGTGTAACCTTGCGTTCTTCCCTAGATCTGGAAAGCAAACGGCATAATGGAATTCTTTCAATTGATCCCATCGACCGTGTTCATGGAATACGTAAAGTTGATCTCAAATAACATGCATGACACAATCAAATTGCTATTTGCAACCCACCATAGACCGCTGTTGACGAGGTATGCGACCAGTCCCAGCAGCAGAAACCACGAAGGGTTTGACTTTGAAACCTTGTCTGAAAGAGGTTACAGTGGTGAAAACGTATTGCATAATAGCTTCAAACATTATGATCTATCAAACAATGGACGTATTCAAGTGTGTTATTTTCTTCAAATAACTGTATGCTTTATGCGACATTGGGTTAAATGAATAATTGGTTGCTGTTCAACACTCACCCAACATGTAATAGACAGTTACGTCGTTGGATCCAGCGTTCTTTAAAGTTTCTCTGGTTTGCCTAATTAACTGCTTAACAGCAGCAGGACCAGCTTGATTCTGCAATTTTCCCTCTGATGCTTCTTCTTCTGCACTCATTTTTACTTCTTTTTTTCCCGCTGGCTGAGATTCTCCCTTTGACTTCCCCGATGGGTCTTCTGGTGTCCCGGATTTTTGTCCCTCCTTATTTTTGTCATCGGTTCCCTCTGGGTTTGTTGGCGTCGGAGCTGGCTTAGGTGTTGTAACCGTTGTTGGGGCTGTTGTAGTGGTTGTCAAGACGGAATCCGCACTCACATCAACCGCCGAGCTGGATTTGAATTCAGTCGTTGTACCTGTTGAACACAGCGTTTCTGATTTATCCCCACTGGTCACCTTCACACAATCGGTTCCACTTGTCGCCTGAAAATGATGGAAATTGTTATCAGTGAATCGATCAATGTCCCATGTTTGAATGTACCAAGCTTATTTCAATAAATTATTGTTGACTTACGTTGACAAATACCTTCAACGGTTTACCGGAATTCGATTGGACACGATATTGACAGTCAGTGATATTGTTCTTTATAACGAAGCTCTGTGCTTCATCAGTAGCAGTAAGCACTTCACAATTTTCAGCTGATGGTCGAAAAGATGTTGAGCAGAAACAGTTTTACTTACCGACAATACCGCTGACATAATAGTTGATCAGTAGGAAAATCACGATATTGTTATTCATTTTTTCAAGCATGTAATACACCAAGATCTGTTGGCCTTTATATTGTGCTTTGCATTCATTTTTGAAAAGCTGGTAAAGATCGGTTGCTTCTTTTAGCATAGATCACGCGGTTGTTAGATTACTGTAAAACCGATACTTCAATCACATTTGCTAAAATTGTAAATCACTCAAAATCAGGTGATGACAACCTCGTTTTCATTGGATAAGCTTAGCTCATTCTGACGTCACGATTTATGCAGCATGTCTTTGAATCTTTGTACTACGTCAATATGAACGCAATAAAGTCAAATCATTTCTGCAATAATTTAAAATCTTCACCCATTGGGAAACGACGAATGTTGTAATGCGCTGATCTAACCAGTGCTAAGCAGTGTGTGCAGCTCCATACGAATATAGAAATATATACACATATGTATGAACATATTTATACCGTATTCTGATAAATTTGCCCACTAGCTTCTCGTTTATCAATACTTAATAAAGCGTCCACAAGATAAAAGCTATATTATTGATGGATAAACTCTTTGCTTTACTTTGCTGGACTCTATCAAATCGGTCAACATGCGTCCTTTAAGTAAACATCTGAACTTTCCAGCCCAGGCCTATCATATATCTCTGATTTATTCAAACCATCCAGCACCTGTATTATCAACTTCAAGTCCAACCTCATCCTTTTGCTTCCCTCCCCGTTTTTCAGACAATTTGCCATTCGGAGCTCGCGGTTTTACCAATATAAAATTTTTGATATCTTCTAAGGATGAGCTGAAGCTCCTTGACTGGATTTATGTCAGTGGCTGACGGTGCGCAGTGCGTCTCGATGCTTCAGTAATTTTCGAAGCATGTTAATCTTTTTTGTGTGAGCATCGACCTTTTAAGGTGCACCTGAAATCAAGGATGACTTCTGCACTGACCTTCCCCCAGTTCTCTAATGTGTTTGGTCAATGGACACCATAGCTGAGAAGTGCAATACCAACGTGGGATTCCTGGGTTAATCAAAAAGCTTCATAGGCGACTTACATGTAAGTCCACCCAAGTGAACGGACAACGCAGATCAAACAATCGAACTGTGCATAGACTGTAGATTCTTCCTGTCAAGCGGCAACTAAACTCACAGGACATCACAGCACATTCCATGAAACTTTTCACAGTCATGAACTTAATTGAGCCACATTGACATCCGCCATCACTGAACAAAATCCAATCAATGCTGCTGCTCTCAAAGAACAAAATCGGTTGACACTGACGGTGCTTATTTCTGAGTCCGGATCTTCTTATATTGAATGCGTAACCAAAACAGGGCTGCCAGACAAAGATAACTAGGTACATTGCAAATCGACCCTCGAAGCTCCCTGATAGCCGCTTAGTTCGCGCCTCAACCGAGAAGTTCAATGAACACTGGGTTTTACTGGAGGAAGCTATGAAAATGTATATCTGGGCAAAACATTTTTCAACTTTGAGGATCGGTCGCGAAAATTGGTGTAGCAAAACATATCCTATATTTCCTATGGCGTAAACCTTTCACCGACCGCAAATGTGAATCTCGTTATCAAAACTTGTCACATTTCTATTGGAAGTTGCTATATTGTATATCATTTATTCGAGATAATTTAGGAAGCAGTTTCTCAGGTTTGTTCAATTTTGAGCCACACAAAGTACTACTTGATTGTGTTCAGCTTCAAGGAAACCTTTAACACGTCAAGTGAATCCATCAAACGAACGAGATTTAAACAAACAAAACCGAACCTGCTCTATTCGACCCAGACCAACCCACGAAAGGAAGTCAGGTTATAATGTATCAATAACTCGGCAATCATGATCAAGTGTAAATGACAAAGGGAATAGGTTTTCAAGCTAGCCAAGCTTAATCCCTCAGTAACCCAGTGATAAAATTATGATGCGGCCTGGACCCCTTGGGTTCCCTCTCCCGATTTGAAATAACTGAGGTCATTTATTCACATTTGAGAAGCTGACGGTAATTTCAAATGTGGCAGTGCGCACCAGTTGCGCATTTCCGTGATCTTCGCGATTCATTTCGAGGACCAAACCATTGCTGCAAACTACACAGTTGAAAGACAACTCATCGGTAAGGCGGATCGAATTCCGCATTTCCAAGCAGTGTTACATTGGAGTAGAATAAACGCGAAAAGTTGACTACCAGCGGGAAATAATATTATTCAGCGAACCGAGATTCTTTTACACATTGACCAATTAAGATAGGCATATTCTAGCGTAACGCATCTGAAATCAAATCAAACAAAATCCATAGCAGTAGTATGGTTCGTAACTTACCAGCACAGATAAGCATTGGTCTATTTAAAATATTGTATTCAGCGTTACTAACGCTTGCTTTTTTGGCAAATATAGGTTGAACGCTACCGTTTTGTCCAGTTCAGTTCGGTTATTTTAAACATTGGAGTAACGAAAGTCCCAATTCACTCTGGCCTGAATGCATACACTGCAATAATAATAATAATAATAATAATAATAATAGTAAACCTAAAAATAAGAATACAAATAGTAATAATGAAATTTTTTTACGTTTGTCTAAGGCTGAGTGAACGACATTCGATCGAAATCTAGGTATTGTTTTATATAGGTATTTTACGCGACGCCAACGAGGGAGCTGAATAATGGTCTTGCCACTGTTTCGATTGAACCGCGGAAGGGTTCATTTGCCCAATTTCACGGGATAATTTTCAAACGCTTCGCAAACGACATTCTCAAATAACAAACCAGCTTATAAAATCTGAATCCTTCATTGTCTGAAATCAATGCCAACTAAGCACGTCCGCTTTCATATGCATTGGGAAAACGTACAAACGTACAAAACGTAGGTCACACTAAAACGTCGACCACGTCGGATTATGAGTAAAACACATGTACGCTGTTGGCACTAACAAGAATTATGTGTATTATAAATGGAATTGCGGTATTCGAGAATAAACTTTTCTCTGAAATTTTACACTAGGAACAGTGGATTTCAAATCAAGACTAAACAGGTTAGTGTGCAATATCGTCTATGGAGATAAAAATCCCAAGGTGTCGATCGTTAATTCTCGTTAAGTGGCCTTGAAATCGGGATGAAATTCCACTGTGCTTTCTTGTTTCCCTTGTGTAGTTTAGATTTCTAACTTCTGAGTTAACCGAATGATTCTTATAAATGAGATTGCTGAAGTCAATTCATGATGCAACGAATTAAGTGAAAATTGTAAGGAAATACACGAATTCACACTTTCGTCCATTAGTTTGCTGATTTAACACTGCTCTTCATCAATTCATAATCGCGAGATTGTGAGCATAGTTAGCCGTGGACAATTATAACGACCAAGATCATTTATTCACTCAATAATGATTACCTCTTGAAATATTCTGGACCATATCGCATTTTAAGCGATCGTCAATGACATTTTGTAGATCAGATCAATGATAATAACTCACAAGCTCTAATCAACCGAAACGCTGTTCACCAGTTAAGCTTTACGTAGTTGCGATTTACAAGGTCAACTCTGTTTATCAACTTGTAAGTAGGATCTCGAGAGCAACGGTCACGAAACAGCTGCCGAATGAATTGCGATGAATGCACTCTGTGTGAGTGATTTATGTACGGCGTTGACATGCTCAATTCCATTAACCCTATCGTTCGCTGTTGAAGACTGCTTGTTGGAGCAAAGTGATTTTGACTAATGTACGAGCGATTAGCGTGAATTGTATAGCTAACTGAAGTAGTAAAACACGTAAGGCCTTAAAAGCCTTTGCATTTCGCCACCATTACATCTCTCACCACTCATCCAACCATTAGGTATGGCTGATTGCATTGGGATGTATTTAGTCATTCAGGTTCGATGAAATACAATCCTAATGACAAATGTGTTTTGTCTATAAAAAGATGTTCCATCCTGGATATGAATGCAGGCGTCTCACTCTGCTGTACCGAAGCCCTTCGGGTTCGGTCTGTGTAGGTTATAGGCAAAATGAACTGAAATATATATCTAATTACCGGGCATCAAACAATGATGTGCTCGCACCCAGACAAGGAATATATTTTTGCAGCTGGCAACGCAAGACTGTAATGATCCTACTCTCCAAGATAACGTCACGCAAAGAGCTACACAATCAGGTATCAGCGATAACAAGAAAAAGCAGGTGTTGCGCATCAATAAAATTTAATGAGATGTCACGAGGAATATAGTGACCGAACGTCACTGATGAACATTTTAAAAGAGCTGTTCAACCGATGAACTTGGCTGTACTGAGAGTTCCGTAAAATAAAGAACAATCATGAGATAACAGCATTCAGTATATGCGCACCTGTTAGTGACCGGTTCTAATGCAAATTTATATTGATTGGTACATCATTTTAGGCGTTAGGAATGACACCTTTTTGCAACATGCGGACACTCCACTGTGTACTTTTCCCCCAATTAAGCTGAAGGCTGTGATTTAAATATGACTATCAAAGTACTGATCAAAACCAGATTGCTTCCCTAGAAATTTGCAAACTACATAAAGAATTTGGTAAATAGTTCTATTAGTATATACGGAGATGAAACCTTTGTTGAATGGACGTGTTTTCGTAACTTACACTTATAGCATATACAGTTATCTTTTTCAAATTTTATACGAGCACATATATAAACGGGGTACACGGTTGAAGGTTGGTTCTCAGAAATGCCCATGACCGTTTTTCACGGGCAATTTGCCACGACATGTGCGTCTTCACCACCTGATAAGGGCATGTTTCGGTTCATAATGTGGGTTTGTCTGGGGCTAAGGTAACTGGAGTGGAGCAACCACTTTCTTCCGCTGGCACAGCGGTTGATTCAATAGTTTGATTGACACTGCTTCTGACGTTGTCAAGTGACATTGACTAAAGTACTTCACTTTGCTTTGGGGTCTTTTAAATGACTTTGAAAGCGACGTTGCTTATCTGGTAGCCGGCATCAGTGAGGTCAGCTACAATCAAAAAGAGTTTTTCTGTTCTCACATTCTACGCCCATAGACTTTTGGGAAAACTGCTACACAGTTCGTTCTATAGAACATATTGAGAATATGCAAGCAAGATAAGCTCTATTCATAAATGAAGAGATGAAGGGATCCTAATCGCTTAGCTCCGACAAGAGCTGTGACCGGCTGGTATAAGTCGCACGTAGAATGGTAGCTGGTTGAGTTCGCCGTATTGCGTTTTCTGAAGGTCCTCTTAGTAGAACACTACTGGAATCACCATGAACAGTGGCCAAAATTACACTCTTTCATTTCCGCAATTTTTCTTTTGTAGGGTGGGTTTTTCTACGATGTTCTTCAAGATAAAACCTTTCAGACATCTATTGCTCAAAATGTTCATTTGATGCTTCTGAAGTATTCCTCCTCTAGTTCTTTGAGCAGATGATTCGACTTTTAGATGTCAACTTAAAGTGTGCATGCGAAATAAAAGTTATGATTCCGGTAGTTTCGTTTATTATGTGTATCTCTGCCAATAGGGACACCGCATCAGGTGCACGTTCTGTGGAAATTTTACAATCTACAAACTTGGTCCAACTGAACTTTACCTTAGGGAATGAACCGTGGCTGATGCAATCGTGTTGCTTTTGTTAGGTCGTAGAATTACAAGCGTAAAAAATGGAAGATAAACGGAGCAACAGAATGGTTCATAAATGTGATACTTCGTTGCAGAAAGTGATGACAGATAGTTGGACAATGACAACTTCTTTACTTTCTTAGACGTGCATCAACATTAGATTTGCTGACTAAGCTACAAAACAGAAACAGGTGAAGATTACTTAACTACCGATTAATCTAGGACCACAAGCTCGCAGGCCATTGCACCGAAGTCGTTAATATGGCACACCTATTTTTGCATTGAAGCACTCAGCAGTGACAAACAAATTCACGGGGAAATGTTCGGTATGTCATTCCAAAAAGGACTGTGCAATATGAGGGTATTTATCTTTCTACGCATTTATCTATCTACATTTTCATTTACCTCACTATATATTCTGCAAATAAGCACGTATTATCTATCTGCTCAACTGGAGAGCAATTCGTTTTCAAAGAAAATTACCGACCAGTTCATTGCACGCAATAGGAGGCATTTTGCGATATATGATTCGTTCGGGCATGTAGGATTCATATTGGTGATTAACTTATCTGTACTGTTAGCGCGACATGGGTCGTTACTCGATCGATTGATTTCACCAATTGATTTGGTCCTGTATGGTGCTCCTTACTAAGCAACCGAAAACAGAATAATCCCGGTGTATCTAACTTTCAGATCGCCTCCCACTGATCGCGTCACTCCGCACGGAGACCGCACTCAAATGTGGTGTTCTGTTATACTGAAAGTTGAGTTACGACGATTACTGGAGTGAAAAAAACCGCAGTCGTGTTTTAATTACTTAGGATTTCCCCTTTCATTTGAAACAATGTTGAGAGCAAGGATCGGATGGACTTGACACTAATGCTTTTTTCTTTTTATTACTGGATGGAAGTATGATATCTTGAACAACTCGTTAAAGTAGCTGAAGCAAATTACTAATGTGCGACGTGGGTTCGCGTTTCAAGTGCACTTTATTGTAAACTACCGGATGACATATGACAAACATTGCGCTACATTTTTACAAGGCTGTTTGTGTGTGTTAGATCATGTAGCCAACGTAGGACATGCATCAATGCAGAAACTTTTTGGTTTACTTTAGACTGATATTATTTCATCAGCCCTATCATATAATACTCAATCGTACATTGTAATGTATGCAATAATATAATTTGTTTGCAGGAAATGTTGATGAACACCACTTGGTGCATACGTCAACCTACAGAAAAATGAGAGAAAAAGATGGGGAGTGAAGACGGTCGCTTCACGCGCGTCAATGCGATGTAGTAGGACAAATGCAGAAATCACTCCAGCAGCATGAGGGAGATTTTCTGTTGGAGTGAATATTTGGAACATTTCCTCCTTCGCTTATTCAGCACAAGGCACGATGAGAGATGTTTAGCTTTCAAATATCGAGTGCCCAGTAGACCTAGACATATCTGTTATAATCTGCATTTCTTTAGTATTTGGATGTTTTTCATCTGCGCCGGTGATTAACGTAATTGTGTATTACACGGTGTTACGAATACTTTATGTGATTCTCTCCTTTCATTTCAAATGACCATCGCTTTATCCGCCGAATTATCTTCCCATCGTCCTGGTTTCTAACATAATCAGCTTAGGATCTCCAATTCATTCAATACAGTTTGTGATATCTAGATTGGTATGTGCAGGAGAACAAAAGCAATGAACTCAGTATTTAATTCCGTCCTCAGTCGTCAGTAGGATGAATATCTACTTCTTTTGACAGGTAAAACCAAAGACATTAGAAAAGTAGCTGAGTCGATCCGCTTTTATCGCATGCGGAATTAATCGTTGGCCACCAGTGAGATATACCCATTGGCACGTGGACGGGAGACGCGATTTTCACGTCAAGTCAAGTCAAGAAATCGCTTTATACACCTCGAAAGGTGAATATTCAGCAAACACATAAAGACAGTCTGACAGCAAAATATTAAAAAACATTACCGCAGAGCAATTGAAAGACGTGAAAACGTACAGCAAAATTAGAAAACCAATAGCATACTCAGGGGTTTGTGCATTTTGCGCAGATTTCCTCGAACGATTTCGTGGTTTGTAAGAAATCTGGCGAGATACGGGACAGTACACCACATTTAAAATGCAGTGTGTGTCTTTATAAGTTTGTGAGTTGAACCGGTGGATGTGTGAAAAAGGCACTGACTAAGGCGGAATAAAGAAGATAAAGAATATACGATGTAAGCTTATTGTATAATGTGTTACAGGACATGATGCGGTATGTCACCACAGAATGTATGTACCAGACGTTCCTGTGGTATGAAACTGCAACCTGACAAAAATTTGAGGTATCGATAAATGAGTTTTAGGTCCTTGTTAGAAAGACCAGGGAAGATAATAGGGGACGCAAAACGTAAATGGGTTACAACACACGCAACACAAAACGCCTTATGAGATGGTTTGGAATGGAAAGTGATTTAAGACGTAAAAGATAAAACGTGAGCCTCCTGACCTTCATAACAAAATCATTAACGTGGTCAGACCAGATGGGGTTACGGTTGAAAATAACGCCCGGGTATTTGACAGACGGTTGTCGTTCCATCTTGTAACTAAGGATTATTAAAGGCGGGCTGGCATTTGAAAATTCATCATACTTTTGCTCTTTTAAAAGGATAAACATTACGTCATTACATTTTTGGAGTTCATGCTGAGATTCTTTTGTTTAGACCATTCAACTAGTTCCGACACGTTTTCTTGTAACATGCTTTGAATTGGTGATTTGAGATAGGGTACTCAAATATTATATTTTCTACATACTTAACAAGAAGAGAAGAATTGCTCACAGGCATATGGAAATGTAAGCAGAAAATAGAAAAGGGGATATAATAGTGCTTTGCAGTACGCCTTCTGAGGAGAACAGCGGTGAAGATGTACGACCTTTGTAGCGTGTGCACTGCTGACGGTTGAATAAATAGTTGGCCAAGAGTTCAATCAATGCAGGCTGAACTTCGCCCGAAAAAAGGGTTTTTAGCGCAGTATATCGACCAATTCTATTGTAAGCATCACTATAGTCAAGGAAAGATATGCGTGCAGCCTTGTTTTTGTATCCAGGTTGCATAAAACAAAGTGGGACAAGTAAGCAAGGGTCTCCAGGTTACCGCGGGTATATGCGCATGCTAACTGGTTCGGATCACCAATATTGAATTGTGTGAACAGGGACTTAATGGGGAGCCTCTGAAACACTTTCAAGTCAACTGAGGTGCAGGCAATGGGACGAAATTTTGAGGATACTTTCTTAGATCCAGGGGTGATTGAGGCTATTCTCCGGCAGTCAGGTATAGGTTGCTGCGAAATACAATCATTGAAAAGTTCATTCAGTACAGGGGAAAGGAAGGTAGCAAATTATTTCAGGGCAGCGGGTGAGACTCCGTTGGGGCCGTAGGACTTACGAGGATTTAATCATGCCAACTCTTGATAAGTATCGACAGGTACAACGCTGGAAACGGTATCAGTGGTAGTTATTCTATATCCATTCGGTAGAGCAGTGAGAGCGGTTCCACTTTTGACGAAACTCTGATTAGGATCATCTAAGCCTGCCGCAACAGGTGAGCGGTAAGATGATCTGATTCCAGAAGTACGCATGTGGGCTTGCCAGGTCCAAAGACTGCCTTTGTTGTCAGGCCTAGCACGGGCATATAAAGAGTTCAGCCTTCAAAGTTCAGGCCTGATGGATTTAGAAGGGGAGCGCACCTCGTTGTGCTCATGCATTTTAAATGCACGCTGCTTTCTAGGACGGAGTTGTTTGAGATGTGGAGAAGAGACTCCATCGGTACGAATTTGTCTCTGGAGACGAAGAGACGTCGTAAAATAAGTTCAAGTAGCTTTTTGATTGATCACAGGAAACGGAAGGATTGGGATCAAAAAACAAAGTAATGTCAGAGTTTCTGATTACTCCGTTAACATCGTCAGGATTTTTGGAGAACAATCTCTTGCTTGAAGCTCGTGGTCACGACTTTGAGTAAAGAGACGATAGTTCGTTCTGCTAAAGATGGTAGGGGTAAACTTTAACATAGATTGATCAGACATTCCCAGTAGGTGGCAGCTTCCTACAAGATGTAAATTTCGAAGGTTGAAAAAAACAAAATTCAAATGTCATCAAGCCCAGTGGGGAAGGCACAAATGTTTTGAAGACCTATGTTGGTTACAAAACGAGTATCGGAATTATTGAAGTCACCCCAAATGATACAGAGTGACTTATCTCCGTAATCAATCAGTGTAGTTGAAGCACAGTCATCAAAGTCATTAGGAGCTTTAGATGACCAACGGAGGGGCTATATACACATTTACAAGAATAAGTCACCGAGAAAAGCTGAAATGTCTGGGCTTACATTGAAATGCTGATGCGACTATATAACGTGTGGAATAAGAATACACATTTTTGATCAGATGATACCACTACTTTTTGACAGACGTGATGACACCACCACCTCGTCGAGAACAACGAACATGATGATCAACACGATAGCTAGCTAATCCATCCAGGTGTATTATTTCATCCTCGATTTCATTATGAAGCCAACTTTCTTGTAACAGGATCACACTTAGTTAGGCATGTTCCCGTAGCTTGACTCAGGTGGTGGGATTGGTCATATTTCCGATAAAAGCCCGGACGTTACAACTGCGAATGCTGGGAACAAACAAACAGGAGGTGGCTTGTTTCCGAAGAGAAATGCTGCAACTGGCTAGATGCTTCCTAGGATTCTTCGACCGCCCCTGACGTTCCTTTTGGTTTTCTTCAATATAGTTCACCCAAAACAGGTTCAAGCCGCACATTTGGTTCATTTGATTGAATGCATGAAATCCCGAGTGTATTTGATCAAATTTGTCATTACTGTAGTAGCACAACAGTCTCTTTGGCAAACAAGGTAAACGTCCGTGCGAATGATGCAAAAAAAAATGCTCAGACAAACATGTGGTTATTCACTGAATAATCCAATGATGGAAAAACTGATAGCGCGGCCGAAATTCCAAGGCGCCACCGAGAAGTGCAATGGAACATGTGTGTATTTTACAGAACAGTGCATCTTGCTGCAGTTTCACAAAGTGCACCACATCTGATATAATTCATCGATGCTACTATCACTAAAGATGTTGCAAATTAAAGCCGATGGAATTTTCAGTAAAATTTGTCAAATAAAAGCACAAAATTCAAGTTAAACGATAGGTGCGTGAACATCTGTCAGGCAAGTGGCTCAAGTTCACGTGAACTCAGGATGTTTTATCATGTTCAGGAAGACAAGAGTAAAGCGATTTGTTATGAAGCTCTAGAAAAATACATAATCTGTTCGGTGAATCAATCGACCGAAATAATGCTCAAGTTGTGAGCTATATATGTACACCGTAAGAATAAGAGGCACATGGATGCGCCTTGGGGGAGGTTATGATTTTTGCGCGAAACATCCTGTATATGCGTCAAATTGTACCGCCATATTTGAAAAAAAAACGACGAAACCATAACTATCTTTCACTTGTGAAGACTTTGATCCACGAGGTATAATGCGTGCAGTGTTCTGAAATAGTATGCTAATGTACGTGTGTGCAATCTTTTTAGAGGTTATCCAGCAATTCAACGTGTGATGGAAGCCAAGGAGGGAGCCATTTCCGAGGATAATAGAAGAACCTAACTGTGACAGTCTGGGTTAATAGCAATAAGTGTTCTCCAAAAAGATGACTGAAAAATCAGAAAATCAGTGCATTCTTTATGGTTAATGTAAATCCATCTTTTTAAGGCAAATGATCGACCAGTTAAACTGTTCACATGCATCATTTATTTTTACACTGCTGGAAAAGGAAACATTTAAACCATTTTGGTTTATATGTTGTGACTGAGCCTGCCGAATCATAAGCACTTCATTTCCTGGTTTAATCACGTGAACCTAGATACGCTGATGTTGAATCTCCGGAGACATATCTTTTTCAGTAGTCAAATATCATGTGGTGGGTTTGCGTTACGAATGATTATGTCAGTAGCTTAACCTGGCAAGTTGAGCTAGGAGGTGCTGGATTAACGTGAATATAAGACAGCAAATACACGGATTTTATTTGTTTCCTTGCCGCATGACTCACGTGACTGTCGTGCGTTTGCGGGCTATCCTGAATTAGATGAAGGAAAACCACAGGAAGAACTGGAATCCTGAACCATTGCAGAACTAGTGAACTCATGTGAGTCGAACTATGGGGAAATTCATTTTCAGATAATGAGCATATGTGATCAGAATTTAAGCACATTTAGGCAAAAAAAGAAAAAAAAATATTGATCAGACACTGACGAGGGCATCTTCTGAATGCATTGGATTAGCAGGTTTCCGTTATTCATGTACGAATTCCAAGTGAATTACTTGCAGTGGTTTAAGAGCTCTTTGAAACTAGTCACTAAATTAAAACAGCACAAATCCCGGGTTATGGAAATCCCTATGCACTTGACGAATAGTGCCTCGCTGTAATCGGTCCGGGGATCGAAGCGATTGTGCGTGAAAAGGTCTTCATTTCACTAAGAAATCATAGGAGACGCAATCAGTCTTTGCCACATATCGGCTAGGAAGCAAATATATCAAGCGGGTCAGCCAATCATAACAGATGAGATTGACGGAACTAAAGTTACCGTTACACCTAGTTGCAATCATTTTCCATAAAATCTATCGTACGTACCAGGTACGTGCCTAAGCAACAGAACTTGAATCTGTAACACTGGGCTTATACCCTCTTTTAAACAGACATATAGGAGCCTACTTTAAATGTCGCCACCCTCTTCAATTCCATCCTCGGCATATTTTCGTTTCCCGTGTATCGCGCAAATCGGGGAAAACCACCTGGCAAGCATCAAGATTTCGCGTGAGAGAGGATAGTAACTCACAAGGAATCCACCCAACTGATCACAAAGATTAACTAATATAAACTACGTCACTTAACTGCAGCCGACGGTAATCCATTCACAACTGCTGCTATAGATTTTCAACAATACTCAACATGGACAAGATACATGAACGCAGCAAAGCGCCTAGAAACCGATGCACAAAAGCACTGTAATCAACAAGTGCAAATCCATCTTCACAATGAAGCTCCCGCATTACTTTTTCACTAAACCGACGGCCGAGAGTCTCAATAAACGTCGACTGTGAATGACCAAAGCTCTCCAAATTTCAATCAAAACAACGCCGAATACCACCCCGCGATCAAATCAGAAACGGAGAATCTTTGCGTTTGCAGTTCCCTTGTTGAATGCCCGATCACCCATTCTTCCAGATGATTAACGAAAGGATATTTCACACATGTCCTCTATGAAACAGCTCATCATAAACTTGAGTAAATACCCAGAAAGTTATTCAGTTGCAAATTGTCCGGAGGTAGAGTAGGCTACAGCTATGGATAGCAGTCCCATTCGGTTCCATTCCATAGTGAAGTAAATATTTATACAAATATGGATAAAAAGACCACAGTAATTCATATTCAAAGAAGGTCGTTTTGCGCAATACGCAAACAATTATAACGCACCGTTCCAATGGCGTGGCAGATATTATACCTTCGAACTCCCGACTCAGTTGTATAAATAGTTCACGATAACAACCGATTTTTTTCTGAAATTAAGTTATGTATCCCAATTTTCTTTAGCTGTAGAGATTCATTCTTGGTCTTGTAGTTCAGGAAACAAGTAAAACTCGGATTTGTCATTCACTTTTGTTACTAAAGCTAGTCAAATTTGAAGTGATAAAAAGCATGTTTCCTAATACCCGAAAATATTCGTGTTCACTTCCCTGTTGTTTTTATAAAAATTGAGTTTATATAAAGGAGTGATAGGTTTTGTGATATCTATGTGCTGGCTTCGCTGACCGGAAGTTACGTTTGTTCCAGTAGGCCCCGATTCAAACTGTAATGAAAATGGGAACTTGAGATCAAAATCACGTGATATAGCGTTCTACTTGTGTGCGAATGTAGTATATAGAATGTAGCTTTATTTACGCTCTCTTGTCCAGGATGGGTGATAGTTGTTCAAGGTTGTCTAAACCGAAGATGATTTGTTTTCGCTTAACGTTATTGCGTCACATTCACTCACGTCAGCCTGAGTTATCGGTTATAGTTTCTGATTTGACGTGAGCAAACTGTGAAATTTGTGTGGCAAATGTGGTAGAAGGCGAGAGCTTTGAGATCTCTATGTGTATGAGAAAAAGAAAAACACTAAGAGGATTAGAACAATATTATTAGATAGACAGATGATTATTTTGCTGATGTAGTTGTTTTGTATGACCACTAAAAGTGTTATTTTTATTGGTCGACACCCGTCGCACAGCCCGTTTAATTGCGCTTCATTCATGGATGAGTCCAAACAAACGCGAATCAATAAGTGAATCATGCTTAATCGTTCATCAGTAGAGAATACGTTTGATAGCCGACACGCGAAACAACTTAATTAGGCTTATTTAAGTCGTGTTCATTCTTCAATTATAATATGCCGTGTGACCATCGACGATATTTATTGCGCTATAATGCCTTCTATGGGAAATGAGAGCGTGTTGTTAGCATAAACATATGGTAATGTGCAGTGATTTCAAGAATAATACTTAGATTAGAAAGTAAACGTTGCTGTTTTTAGCGAGAAATACGCTTAGGCCGACTATAAAAGTCAGTTGTGCCCGTTGTATTACATCGTGTGTATGTGACTGAATTCCTCATCCTGAGTCAACGCTGTTATGTTTGGTTTAAATGGAAAGATTCAATATTTCGCTGCGAGTTAGGTGGGTGATACGAAAGTAAACTACACGAGGATGTTGATTTGAGGTTACACCTTTTTTGGTATAGCGGGCGCTATGCAAAAGTGTCGACGGATGCGGAAAACTTCACCACGCAACCAGATCAAAGAGCAACATTGGAAAAAACACAGTTATCTCTCATTGTAATGTTGGATTATCGTGCATATGCTCCCAAGATTTGCTTTATGACCAGATACCAAGATATACGCTGCAAAGAGATAAATAAAAATACAGAGGAGTTTGATATGAAATTGTGTTATTCATTGGTATCATCACAACGTTTGTCAGGTCCTTTTCGAGCAATGCGCGATCCGGCCGATTATTTCATGATTCTGGAAAGTGATCATAAAAGGAATATCCTTTAATTTAAGAAACTGACATACTGCCTCAATGAAATAATAAAGTTCGAAAAACCATGGAATACTCAATGAAACCGAAATGGTTGTGCACTTTGTAACTCACTATAAACTGCTGAGTGCAAAGTGAGCAACGAAACCCAGGATTAGGACCGCCGACGGATCAGATTTTGACACGCCGTCTGCAAGGAGTGAAATATCACTGGCATCGATAGTGATTCATGAAAAGATGTAAACCTCTGCTTCTTTTGGAATCCTAATTGCTGAGATTGCTCTCTAAACAACAGTTGATTACATTTTCGGGACTGTGAGGTCATTCTCGCATTGAATACTCTGTATAAGAACCTCAATTCACTCAGACACTTACCCAATACGTAATACACGGTGACATCGTTAGATCCATTGGCTTTGGAGGTATCTCTGGCAAGTCTAAGGAGTTGAGCCGCATTGTTAGCCAGTTCTACCGCTGGTATTGCTTTCCCTGTGCCTTCTACGTTCCCTTGTTTACTCAACTTTTTGTCTTCTTCCTCAGCACCGGTATTTGCACCACCTTCGTTCGGTATAGCCTTCTGTGATCCTTCAGTATGTGTACCTACAGCCGGCTTTTGGACACCCGCGTTTTGTGCATCTGAATTCTTCGATGAATTATCTTTACCACTTGCTCCATCGTCTGTTTTCGGTGTTGTTGCAGGTGCTGCCGTTGGTTTCGGAGTCGTTCCCGCCGTTGTCGAATCTGAACTAGTCGTGTCAGAATCCGCACTCACGTCAATCGCTGAATTAGATATGAACTGTTGCGTTGCACCTGATGGGCATAGTGTTTCCGATTTTCCATCACTGGACACCCCAACACATTTGCTTCCACTCGTGGCCTGTAAGCAAAAAAATGTGTTTGTACTAAATGATTTCATCTTCCACACTCCATTATTTCATTAGGGGTTACCGGAGGTTTTGTTTACTTACATTAACGTACACCTTCACCGTTTGACCGGAATCCGATTTGACGCGGTACTGACAACCGGTGCCACTGGCTAATACACCAAACTTCTGTACCTCTTTCGTTGCATAAACTTCTTTACAATTCTGTTCACCTTGTGCTGATTATGGGAAGCAATTTACTTGAACGCTGGATTACTTACCGATGATCCCGCCCACACAGAATATGACCAACAGTATTTCCACGAAAGTTGATTTCATTTTCTGTGAGTTCCTGTATGGTTGTAACCGCTGTTTTTATAGTATGCGCCACAGCAAATTTCTGCAGAGAAGGCCGGTGATTGATGTCCTTTATTCGCAATCAGGTGACTCTGATGTCGCTCTGATTCCCAAATGTCATACGAGGTTGTTCAGCCACCTTTTGTCAAACAGTGTAATCGATCAATATGTTGTCAGTAGCTAAAATTAGCTTAGTTTTGCAAAGTGCTTTATTGGGAACTGTAGTGCAATTTTTATGATGAAATCTGGAACACGTGCAAAATATTCACACTTTCAAGAGTGCAGAAAAAATGACTCTCGAAACACGTCAGTTTCTTAAGTCCCCCTAATATACATTGTTTCGAATCACTCACATTATCGCATAACCCAATCTGCCTTTTGGATGTTAATGAAAATCATTTGCATACTTGTTATCTTAGTATGTTTTTTGCCATGTTTTCTTAAACAAAATGTTACGTTAAACGGCTCAAGTAGTTCAGAAAAGTAATGATATTATCCTTGATACTACTAGCTGCATTACGTAACTCTTCTCGTATAACTGTCTCTCGAATGGTTTATCAAGTGGTTCTATATCTCCTGTTATTTTATTATATTTGCTCTATCCGATCATCTAATAAAACAACCTCGGAAATTCACCAAATTCTAAATCGAAGTTTTGGGAAGAGCACGTAAATTCCGTTCTGGTGTGCACTTGAAGTTCCTATGCTGATAGACATTAGCGTGAGCTACCAACTAGATAATCAATTCTGGCCTTATGTGTTTGATTGAGGACAAACAGAACCCCGTAACGCTAGTGGTCTTTGGTCGAGTAACATAAGACTGAGTGGGTAAATATTAGGTCGGATCAGGGTTAATGAATGATGATTGGTGCCTATGACGTACAAATGTTTGGTAGAAAATATGCGTGTGACTAGCGAATATGCGATAGAGACTTTGGGTTTGATAATAACGTCATTGAGATTAATGCAGAATAAAGAGTCAGGGAGTCTTGTAAAGGGCATCTGCTGTTGGAGGCAAGTTATCATCAAGGGTCAAGGCACTCGTGCGTATGAAACGTACATCAAAAGTGGTAATCTCGGATAAACTACATAGGCTAAATATATCTGTTGGCGAGAGCGATCGAGGTAAAGTAGGAGAATGTGTAGTGACAGACTACCATCCATCTGCCAACACGATTTTGTTATTACCTAAATATCACTTCCAATTCGCCATACTTTTGAAGTTGATGTAGGTAATCACACCGCCTCTATATTTACTTCCGCAGCGTTATCTGTCCCCTTTGACGCAATTAAACTTATTCATTTGAACCACGGACGCATCCATGTCATCATTCTGTCACGACCCCTGGATTCACAATAATTGTGGAATTCCTTTCCCTGTTGCCATTGGGATAAATCCAGACTTCTCAAAAAGAACGGATCGTGGTGCTTATAATTTTGGAAAGACTAATTCCCATGGTAATTGCAAGAAGAGGGGTTCGTCAATCCGACATATGTGTCTGAAGTATTTGCACTTTGGACAAGTTGCTGGCATTCCAAAAAATGCAGCATCATTTGATATCACAACACAAGTCGCAGCATGCAAGGGCGTTGTCAAAGTTTTACGCGGTGAATTCCAGGAAGTGGTTGGCCAAATGAAGAAATATGCTCAGAAAACGACCAATTAAAAGATGGAATCAAATATGAGAAGCTTATGCTTTCACTTCAGTTTTGCCTAAATAGAGTAAGCAAGTTGTAAAATTGTGAAAAATAATATCGTGAGGTAACGGACCACCAGATGGATATCTCTCGGTGACCTGGGTTGTCCAAAAACAGAGAGTCAATTGGGAAAAATTCATGCACGACATTTCGTGTATTCGTTGCGATACTTAAAAGCACCCTCCGGGGTTATTGAGCAATCCATCAGCATGTCCAGTTCTCGTGAATTTCTTATTAACAGAATGCAAAATTGGCGTCAAGAAGATGCAGTGAGAAAGTGTGCCCTCTACAGTCAACATACTAAACGCTTGTTCTATTTTGTGTAAAGCAACAATTCAGAATGAAGAGGAAGAGAAGCAGCGTGGAAAAGTAATTAGTTGTTAACATACACCCAAAATCTCTCACTTCCTAGTGCCAAGAAACTATAAGTGATACGAAAATACTTCGTATGACTCTGAAAGCAGAAGCTTTGCATGCTAGATACAGAAAACGGTTTTAAGCTTCATTTCAAGCTCAACAGAGGCACTAAATTTCCAGGGTGACTTCGACCAAGACGGACATGCTCCTCGGTATTATTTCTTCAAATCTTGCATTTACAACTGTTTGGGTTTGGTTGCACTCCGCGTTCAATTACCGACAGAAAGTAAACTTTAATCTACGTCTCTTACCCTCCTTGACAGAAAAAGCAAAAATAATAACAGGTTTGAATAAATGACACAATGATATCTCGAAATAATGTCCGCTGTTGTGAGTAAAGCAGTAATACGTCAGGCCAATCTTCATGTTCCTAAAAGCTTGAAAGTCTTGTTGAGCAAGAGCAGGGAACTATATAGAACAGTTACCATGCTTGCTAAACTTTGCTTTGCGAATCAAGTTGATATGTAATCCAAATGCCCCATCATCGAAGCCACTTATATATGTTTCCTCTGCAGTGTTTCATAGGAAAAGCGCGGCTCAATTGAAATTATGATTCGTAGATAATCGACAATAAAAATGATTACTCGGTACATTGTTAAAGCACGGGAAAGCTGAGGATTCTCGGCCACGGTACAGAAAACATCCGTTGGTCCGAGGACTGTCAAATTCATAAAATGTGAATCTCTCCTTCCATTTACGAGTACGTATTAGT